GGACCCGTGGGTTCCCCTGGGCTGCCGGCGGCGCGCGGACCCGGGGGAACCCCTGGGCTGCCGGCGGCGCGCTGACCAGGGGAACCCCTGAGCTGCCGGCGGTGCGCGGACACAGGGGAACCTCTGGGCTGCAGGCGGCGCGCTGACCCAGGGAAACCCCTGGGCTGCCTGCCAGCGGCTCAGACTCCCTCTCCCTCCCAGCGCACCGGCCACTGGAACACTTTAAAAAAAAATTGGGGGCGCCGCTTTTTGGTGCCCCCAAATCTTGGTGCCCTCGGCAACCACCTAGTCCGCCTAAATGGTAGCACCGGCCCTGGTGCAGAGAGATACCTGCACATCCTTCATCTGGGGAGACTGCCAGCTGGTTTGGTCTTCTGAAAGGAGGTTCTGACTCTCAGCCAGTCTGGGTACAAATCGCTGGGAGAAGGACTTTGGCGGAGCAGCACCTTGTTAGACAGGAGGGCATCTCGTTACTTGAGTCTATGCTCTAGAATGTGTGTTATGCTTTGGTATGTAAACCTTTGTTTCCAATAGCTCTGCCAGTTGCCATTTGAATCTCTGGTCTTTGCTAGATGTATGCTTGCTTTCTCTGGAACCCAGCCTAAGTGCTGTGGGTTGAGCACAACGGTGATCCGAGGTAGAACAGGTAAGCTGGGGTGCACTTTTCCTTTGGGAGCAGCAGCCAGTCTGTGAACGTCCAGTGGAGCAGGGCCTGGGCATTCCTGGGGGATGCTCAGGGATAGGGTGTGCCTGTTGTTAGCCTGCAGGGAGCAGTGGAGCTCACATGGGCTGAGAGAGGAGCACTGGTGCTGCCTGTGGCTGGTGGTGCCAGAGAGCTGACCCCTGGCAGAGGCAGACAGGGCTTCCACATGTGAAGGGCAGGCAGTAGTGAGGTGCTTCCCAGGCCAGGGTATCCCAAGAAGCCTCCCAAATGCTGAGCACGGAGCTAGAAGAAGAGCCCATCCAGTCCTCAAGCATCACCCTCTGAAGGAAGGGATTATAAAACAGGGGAGCTCCCCTCCTCCAGGGAAACACGGTCCCACACCCCTGCCAAGGCCCCGCTCTCTGGGCTAGGGAGATTTACAGGCTGCCCCCCTTTGCTCAGGCTGTCTCCTGGAGATCATAGAATATCAGGGTTGGAAGGGACCTCAGGAGGTCATCTAGTCCAACCCCCTGCTCAAAGCAAGACCAATTCCCAACTAAATCATCCCAGCCAGGGCTTTGTCAAGCTGGGCCTTAAAAATCTCTAAGGAAGGAGACTCCACCACCTCCCTAGGTAACGCATTCCAGTGCTTCACCTAGTGAAATAGTGTTTCCTAATATCCAACCTAAACCTCCCCCACTGCAACTTGAAACCATTGCTCTTGTTCTGTCATCTGCCACCACTGAGAACAGCCGAGCTCCATCCTCTTTGGAACCCCCCCTTCAGGTAGTTGAAAGCTGCTATCAAATCCCCCCCCCAATCTTCTCTTCTGGAAACTAAACAATCCCAGTTCCCTCAGCCTCTCCTCATAAGTCATGTACTCCAGACCCCTAATCATTTTTGTTGCCCTCCGCTGGACTCTTTCCAATTTTTCCACATCC